GGGGTGGGGGTTAGTCAAAGTCAGAAAATCAAATGTAACAGAGTAATCATATCAGAGCCCCGGGTAAAGTGCAAACTTTTGGAAGCAAAGCCACAAGTAAATATAAATAGCTTACGGAGCAACAAACAGAAGTGTAGACTCCATGGCAAGAATGTATGGCAAAGGAAAAGATATTAGACCTACATTAGACCCAAATCACAGGAATAATGCGACTCCGAGGAGAAGGATTTAACTAGTGTGCTAACATGTAAAACAAGAATCCTTTTTTATAAGGAGAAACAAGAGTCCATTTCAAGTATTATTGTTGTCACACCTAATCTTTCTTAAATAATTTATTACATTTTCAAACAAGGGGTGCTCATTAAATTCATGCAGTTAGCCCTAAACTCTCTCTTTTTTTTGAGAATTGGTAACATAGTTAGCCCTAAACTCTTCTTAAATATTAATAGGAAAAGGAAGATAAACAATCCATTTAACCATTAAAACCACATGACAGATAAAGGAATATTTTTTCCAATGTACTAACCAAAGGTCCAAACCTTTTCTAGAAAGCACCTGCGCATCACTGAATCATGACCACCTTCTCAAACCAAAAAAGTTGAGCCTGTTGATTTAACTATAGATTTGTTGGGTACCCATTGTATTCAACAGGTCAAGGGTAGTTCCAAGGAATCATCATGAAACTGTGCCATAACATTTTACTCCATACCTCATTGGGTATTCATTAACGCTAAATAATCACCTTGGTCTGGGGGTTTTAGGTGTATAATGGACAAAATAGCATCAGGAGCTAATGTTGCATATTGTCTTGCCACTTAAAACGATTAGGCCAGATCAGAGGGCATAAACATCCCTTGCCTCAATCTTCATGTAACTAAGTTTGATTGTAGTGTGTGAAGAAGTTAATATATAAATCCTAGAAGCCAGATCAATCATTTCTTCTTCATGACAGAATAGTTAGTGCTGGGCTGGCAGAAAATCAAAGTTTATCAGAAGCCTGGTCTAAAATTCCTGAAAAGTTAGCATTTTTATGATTACATTGGTAATAATCCAGCAAAAGGAGGATTATCCAAAGCAGGTTCAATGGATGACGGGGATGGAATAGCATAAGCAAATAAAAAAACTAAGCCTCAGTCCCAAGCTAGTTGAGGCGGCTGTGATCCTCAATATCATAGATTCTCTACTTGGGAGTAAAAAGAAAAAGAAAACAAGAAAATCATAATGACAAAAAAGATAAATAACAAACAAGGATGTAAAACCATACACATAATTAACTCTCACTTACAGAGCAAAGCTCAACAAGTATGCAACCTACACTCCACATATCACAGGGATAGTTCCATCCAAGACCTATAAAAACAGCACAAGACAAACTAAAAGACTGACAAGATGCAACTAAAAGATGCAAATCTGAGAGATATAGTAACTACCTAAGATAACCTCTGGAGCACGGTAATGACGTGTAGACACCACATAAGTATGATCCTGATGTTCAAATGTTGTACTGCCGAAGTCAATGAGCTTAATAGAACTTGACTTTGGCACATTCTTGAAGTAGGAACCATCTTTTACAGGTCGCAGCAGGAACTTCATAGCGGGCAAGAAGGGGAAAAAGACATCAGTAGTAAAGACTTTTCAAGTTGCAGAAAGAGGAGAAATCAGAAAACAATCACAACCTAGATGATATGCCATTTCAGAAACAAAGAAAGTGCTATTATTTTCCCATAAAAATGGTAGTAATAGGAACATACTAATGTTATACAAATTTTAATGAAGCGCCAATGTTATACATTCTCTGTGCAAGATTCTGGTTTCTACTTCCTAATCAACCAAGTAGATGGAACCATTGGTGAGTTTTACAGAACATACAAATGCAGTTCATATGAAAATATTGAGCGGAAGGACAGAAGAATTAAAAGAAACTTGCTCGATCTCCTGTTTCAGAGTTAAAACATGAAAATGACAAAGCAGAGAATAGTCTTCAATAAAGTATTCTACTTTCTTTTTCGGGTTATTCCAAAAGAATAACACTATCTTACAAGATCAACATCTTCTCCATAATCTTTAATACTTTCAATGTCTCAAAAAAGGTTAAAGGGAAGCCACTCCTATACACCCCATTTAACTCCCATTATTGAACTATCATTGATTGAAATGTAAAAAACCTCAAGACACTTGCATTAATGCAGGTGCTCATAGCAAAAATAAAAATAAAAATTGGAATGGGATACTAAGTTAATGGAGTCCGTTACCTCCCTACTTCATAATCTCATGATTTACTACTTTGACAATCTGGATTGATCAAGTTGATGCATAAAATATGTATCAAGTATTCATGTCATGAAACGTAGAGCATTAGATTACTGTTAAATCTGTTTAGACACTAAAACACAATAAAGTCATAGAGATTTGATTAACTTTTAACCTTTTCTTCTTATTATGTCATCCTAAATGGATGACTTGGTTTAACTAGGCTGAGTAGACTTCAAGTTTCAATAGGTTATCATTGTAGAAGATAAGATTAGAGTTAAGACCTTCAAAGAGCAAAGTGACAAATTGCCACATCAAAATGAAGACGATAAGATTCAATATATTTTACAATAGGTGGAATTCTTTAAGGCAAAATCTTGTATAACAAGAAATGGCTCTGTTTACCGAATACCAAAGGAGTCAGATAGACTGAACTCTCTCTCTCTCTCTCTCTATATATATATATATATATATATATATCCCTTACAAGTGCCAATTGTATTGAGAGAGAGACTAATAAAGACATAGAGTATAAGAAGAAAATTTCAAGAGAACTTCAGTTTGTACTGTCTACATTGATAGAAAGGCTAAAATCCTAATTCTCTCTCTCTGTCTCTCTCTCTCTTTCTCTCTCTCTCTCTCTCTCTCTCTCTATATATATATATATAAGACCTTCAAAGAGCAAAGTGACAAATTGCCACATCAAAATGAAGACAATAAGATTCAATATATTTTACAATAGGTGGAGTTCTTTAAGGCAAAATCTTGTATAACAAGAAATGGCTCTGTTTACTGAATACCAAAGGAGTCAGATAGACTGAACTCTCTCTATCTCTCTCTCTATATATATAATATATATATCCCTTACAAGTGCCAATTGTATTGAGAGAGAGACTAATAAATCCATAGAGCATAAGAAGAAAATTCCAACAGAACTTCAGTTTGTACTGTCTACATTGATAGAAAGGCTAAAATCCTAATACACAAGTCGAACTTTAGCAAACCTAATTAAACAAAAACCTAGTTGATTCTAATGATTACTATGGTATTGAAAAGCAATTTCAATAAGACATGATATATGATGCATTACCTTGTAATCTGGAACTTTAATGTACTCCGACGAAACAAGGAGAATATTTTCTGGCTTCAGATCAGTGTGAATCAGTCGCAAATCATGCATAACTGCAATAAAAAATACGAATGAGCAAACTGCTAGAGTTTATGGACATCAATATTCCTAGAATAAATATTCGCAAGCATATAAGTAGAGATGCTCCCTTGCTCCAATAGTAATCATATGTGCAATATAAAATCCAACTTAAAATGGTAACATGATCTGAGCCTCACAAAGCTTCTGAAAATTAACAGAAAAATGTGGTAAAGATTAGTTCACACACATGCTACAGACTCCAAAAGTTGTCTTCCAAACTCTCGGACAAGATCAATGGGAAATGAACGGTAGCTGTTTTTGCGAAGAAAATCGTATAAGCTTGGACCAAGCTTCTCAAAAACCTGTTAAGACCAATTAAATCCATCCTCAAGTTTTTACACCCAGAATATCATACAAGAAGGAGCTCAACTGCCCCTCCAAATCCAATCAAATAATAAGCACCAATAAGCACTTACAATACATATATGATTACGATAGTCAAACCAATTCCTTATTTGCACACAACTGCAAGAATAAAAGCAGTGGTACTAGAATCACTTCAATTTCGGCTGTCAGTAAAGTAACACAAAAGGAAGGATAATTCCTACCGTTTGCCACCAAGATCGTGCCTGACAAATTTCTGCAGAACGTCTATCTCGATCATTGCTGCTTCTCGATATTTATGTATTGAGCGAACAACTTTAATTGCCACAAGTTCCTTTGTTTCATTGTCGAGGCATTCAAGGACCCGTCCAAAAGTTCCTGCAATTAGGTACCAAATAGATACAGCTGAATAAATGAACTAAAATATGTTCCACATGGTAAGTACAAGAAGTACACTATTAGAACTTAGAAGCTTCTCAAGAAGTAATTTATTATTCCTGTATCATTCGAGCATTTGCCAATAGATACTACCAGAATTACCAACCTTGATAAGCAAACACCTAGTCATGCTTCTGTTAATGCTCAGTGAAACTGAATAATAAAACACTAAGTAACATAGATCACAGGCCATTTCTTTTTTCAACCAAAATTTTATCTGACTACACAGAAAAATAGCAGGAATAAATCAACAAAAATATATTTCTATTTAGCCAAGATATCAAGGGAAAAAACAATTTGGCAAAATGATCCTAAGCAAGCTTTGCCAAAAAGAAACAAAGGAATTATTCAAACATAATAAAGATTGCTTCAATAAACCAAAAGTACAATGACATTATATTTGTATAAAACCCAAGAAATACCCCCTCACCAAAACATATAAAGGGAAAGGGATGAAGCTTAAGGAAAGGAAAGAAGAGAGGGAAATAACTAACCTTCCCCCATCTTGCCAAGTATCCTATCTGCAAATACAGAAAGGAGTAGATTAGGGAAGAGAAGCAAATTTTACGAACATAAAACTTTACAGGATAATCATGTTAGTGCAGTTGCATGTAATCATCCCGCTAACTGTAGATGTCAGTACAGTAAGCCAAATCTAGGTTAAGGAGACAACTGGGAAAAGAAATTGTGTCATCCTGTATTTACTCTGATACAAAAGCATTGTTGACATGATGATACTTGGAAAAAATGTCCAAAAACACAGGGATATAATCCTCAAACAGATAGTCAATTAGTTTTCATGGGACTATGTAAGTATACTTGTATCTCAATTGTGGATAAGGCGCATCATGCAAACAATGGAAATAATGATGACCTCAATCCTTCATCTTTTTGGACTAGAGCATATTCGATACAAATCACAAGGGAACAAAACAAGGTCCCACATGCATGCCGAGAAAGCGCAAGAATTCTCCCTCTGCCGGAACAGAAATTGGGGATGATTTTTTAATCAGTAAAAATGAAAAAATTATAACAACCAGTTGGTACCTTATATCCTTGTCCGAGACTAGTTCAACTTTGCTAGATGACTAGATCAAATCAGAGTTTGCTGCATTATAACTAACATATACATGTAAGAGCAAAATCTCCTTTCTCTTACGACACTTACATATGGACTTCTAGAATATTGTACTACCTGAAATGCTGCGAGCTTGTGCAATTTGTCAAGTACTGGAATCAAGTTGAAAAATACATTTTACATGCTAAGATTCTAAATCTTTTTTTAATAATTGAAAAATCATAGAGGGGAAGTGGCGCATGGTTCAGAACTCGGTGGATAATGGAGCCACCCCTCTATTACTCTTCTCCACCCAAATACCAGGTTTTTATTAGTGGTAGGGTTCTAACCCCACAACCAACACATCACAAGTTGTGCTCTTACCACTAGACACTAGACCAAAGCCCGGATTCTAAAATTCTAATTTTTTTTAATTTTTTTTTTTTGAAACTTGGTAACTTTGTATTATAACACAATAGTACATGGCAGTACTAAACCTTATATACAGATGAACTCCAAAAACTCCACTATTCTAAATCTAAATTGAATCTAGAACATCAATTATAGAGACAGTTTCATTTGAGTATAATTGATTGCACCAAAAACATAACAACAAAATGCAGTTGAGTTTAACTTTCTGCATACTATTCTCTACGCTCTCAAAACACCTAGAATTTCTCTCTTTCCAGGTTGCCCACCAGATTGAAGCAGGGATAATTCTCCATCTCGTTCTGTCTTTAGCTAGCACTCCTGCCTCCTCCCAACTTTTTAGGGCTTCAGTAATTCTTCTAGGCATAGCCCAGGATAATATGCCTTTGAGACTCAAGAACACCCTCCATAATTGTTGAGTAAATTTGCAGTGTAGAAAAAGATGGTTAACAGTTTCTGATGTTTCTCCACAAAGAAAACACCTAGAACATAAATAACAGGAAGGCCTCTTCAAAATGGAAAGACAAATCACTTGCTCGAACATAATAATTAAAAATCCAGGTACACTTGCAATATGGAGTTACAAATAGAAATAAAATAATTTATGAGAACAAAAAGACAACTTACAACGACGAGTTAAGTTCTCCCCAATGGAAAACACATAGTGGCCATCTTTATCATCCGGTCTCCGAGGAGGGGATCCATTATGAGGGATCCCTTTGTAATATATTGAAGAATAAGCATAATTCAGCCCTGCTCCATTTCCGAACTCTTGCCCGCAGTATATTGTTGGAAGAACCTAAATTTTGATGACAGTATTATATTCAATTCCTTTCCAATGCCATTTTCTCAGAATGACATAATTCAGAGATTTCGCTTATAGCATATGAAATGCTACCACACATGTTTATTTACTGATTTTGGACTACATAATGATTTGCAACAGTATGTCTGTAGCATATCAAACCTTACTCCTATGAAACGAAACGAGCATGATATTTAGCACTCAGGCAAACAGAAAGGCACAAAATTGACATTCCAAATGGTATCTCCCTAGCACTTACCCTTGACATATAAGAGCGTAGTGTTACTAAATGCTCAATGAGATACACGAACATACAACCTCGAATGCTTGATAAGATATATGAATATAATGGCTGCATCCTATTCCAGAATATTGAGATTTGCTAACTGATATACTCATCAAAAGAGAAATTTAAGAAACTTATCAAAAAGAATTGCAAGTCGATAGAAGTGCCAAACTGTTCAGACCAAAACACATCTCATGGAATTCTCTTACATTGTTAATTTGTGATTTAGCAATAGGATAAAAGCTACAGCTGATTTCCAGAAAGTAACTCCATATAACACATCTTATAGGTCTCCTTATCTCAGTAGACTACCAGCCATTTTTCCGACACGTTCTTGTATACTTTGGTAACAAATTTTACAAAAGTTCCCATTTATAGCCTCCAAACTTTCCATTTATGTTTAACCTTCAAGTACACATGTTACCTCTGAATGCCTCAAGTTTGTCCAAAATGGAGATAACTCATAATGGACCAATCATTTCCAACTAGCATGTAAGGTCTATTTGGCCATTCAGAACTTTTAAGAAGCGTATTCTACACATAGCATTTTCTTCTCAAACAGATGTTTCATGCATAACTACAAGCTTAATGAGCATTAAGTATCGTCACTGTATCATTTCCTGAATTTTATTTTCATATATTTTTTCCCAAGGAGACTAATTTGCATTAAGTATCGTCACTGTATCACTTCTCTTGCTCCCATTAAAAAAGTTTAACTTTGAAAGCAATTTTAGTTCAAAATCTAAGTCACTCAAGTCCCATGTTTTTTTTTTGGAATAAGCTACTCGAGGCCTATAATTTAGCACTCTTTTAATAGCAAAAATGAACTGCCTTACTAAACCACCTACACCTTTTCATAAGAAGGCACTCCAACTTCATGCTTCTACACCTAAGATGGCTTTTATAAACATTCTTCTTTCACAAGTACCCGCTCCAACTTCCTTATGATTCCTCCTCCTTTTTTTTTAATTGGGGGTAAGGGAAGAAAGGCTATTACAAGGTGGGGAATTGTACATCACAGTCAACCAACTAAGCTACTAAGATTTCCCACTTAATTATGATTCTCACATTACAAATTTCATATCGTGCTCAAAACAAATAAACTCTTGAATTCACATGCAATAGCAATTATGTTGACATAAACAAACTTCAAAAGTGCACCAATTCATATGTTGACAGAAACAAACTTCACAAGTAAATAAAATACCAGCACAAACTAATACTACTACTATTTTTCAATCAAAAACCTTTAGAATTGGAGGCCCTACGTCCCATGTCAAACGAGGCCGTTTCCGAGGTCGCTTATCTATATTTCTCCGTGGAAACTCCATTAATGGTTGAATCTCCATAATTGTGATCTGTATAGTAATCAGCAGAAAGAATTGAATCGAAAATTTGATGTATTTTCTGCGAAAAAATCGGGTCGAAACCCTATGGATTCTGCATATCTGAGAAATGAGATGGGAGAGAAAGAGGGCTAACCCTGGTTAGTTAGTTCATCATTCACCTTAGTTAGAGATAAATGGGCTTCCGGGTTTGCTTAGTTGCCCCGACTTACCTAAGACCCATTGTTTGGATTTTTTTAAAAATATTGGCTATCGACACCATAATTTGTTAACCTAAACTTCTATGTCAAAATGCATCAAGTTTAACTAAAATTTAGGGAAAATTATAGAAATCACATACTTTTAAGATAAAATTATAATTTATCCCTTAAAAGTTTATAATTACAAAAATCCCTTAAAAATTTAAAACACGGATACAATAATTAACGCTGATACATTAATAAAGCGGGTCGGATATATTATTAAGTGCAGGTTACATATTTTTTGTTGCGCTTTTAATGGAATTTGCCCAATTTAAAATGGAAAATCAAATCCTTTAAATCACGCCAATAAGTTTTGCGACATTATAGAAACGTGATTCCCAAAATCAAATCAGAATTGGAGGATTCAATTCGTGTTCATCTTCTTCTATGTTTCAACGAATAAGACTTTTGACTAAGAATCAAATTTGTTGTTGTGAGTTTAATCGAATAGATAATGAACATATCAATTTTGTTGAGGCATTCTGGAATTTGGAGAGTGAGATTAAATATGAAAAATACAAGAGTGAGGGGATATTGGTTGGTGAACATGTTTCCTTCATGAATCTAGTTTCAACAATTGCGGCTTAGTTGAATATTGATGAGTCGAGAAAAAAAATTGAAATACGATACATTGTAGAAGGAAACTCCTCTCCAATGAGTATAAGGACTGATATGGGAGTAAAATTGTACGTAGAGGTGAAGAAACGCGAGATTGGATTCGGATTGTATCCCCTCTGTATTGATACAATTGATAGGGATGTTGGCGATATTGAAAGTTTTGATGTGTAGACTGGTTCAATCGTCTGTGTTGAAGTTGTTGAACATGATGCACTCACTCTCAACTTGGTAGAATAAAAAAATAGTGAGTCGTGTTATATACCATAGTTGGAGGTGATGAATTACATATCAGATACAAAAAATACAGAAGTGAAAGTGGATCAATTGTACAAGGATAAAGCCACTCTGATATCTGTAATGGCAAAATACAAAATAAAACATGGCTTTAATTTCAGAGTAAAGAGATCTGATAACAGGAGGTATGGAACTTTGTCTATTTTATTTGCTATAAGGTTGATACATTAAATGGTTGGAGTGTTATTTTAAGTTCTCAGAACTGTAAGTTACAATGTTGTTATTATAAAGTATCAGGTATATTATGTAAGTGTATCAAAATCAAGATACATTATTGCATTATAGCTGATATGATTGTTCTTTTATGTGTTAATGTATCAATATATGATTGTTCTGATTACTGTATCATTGTATTTTGTTGAAACAGTAAGGATACAGTACTGGTTAAAATTATGATACATTAAACGTTTAACTTTATATATTTGTATAATAATGATGATACATTTTTGTAGTAAAGCTGATACAATTATGATTTGATGAATATTTACTAGTTAATATTTTGTTTTAAGCTTTTTGTCAATGTAAGATTACTATAAAGTATCAGATTCATTTCACCTTATGTTAATGTATAATAATAATGACACATTATTGCTGTCAACTTGATGTGTGTAGAACTGTAATGCATCATTATGTAAATAATCTATTGTTTTAGTGTATCGGTTATACATTTTACTAATGTCTCTGAAAAAATGCAGCTACAAATTATTGTGTTCATCAAATGACTGTTGTTGGAGATTGAGTGCATCTGTTAGGAAGAAATCAGATTTATTCAAAGTGAGGTACTTCAATAGTGAGCATACATGTCCGATAAGGGATAGGTTATTAACAAAGGTTCAAGCTACAATTGGGTTTATAAGTGTTGTGTCAGCGCCTAAATTGCACAATCATAAAAGAATTCATACACCAAATGATGTTATTGAGGATGTTAGAGCACTGTATGTGATTGATATTTCACACCACAAAGCATGGTGTGCTAAGGAGCGCGCATTAGAGATGATAAGGGGTAAATCTGCGAATGGATATAGACAGTTGCCTAAATATCTATATATGTTGGAAACTGTGTATCCAAATTTTTATATACGGATGCATAAGTCAGAGGAAAATAAGTTCATGTATCTGTTCATATCATTAAGGCCACTAACGAGAGGTTTTGACTACTGTAGACCAGTAGTTGTTGTTGACGGTGCACATCTTGGTGGAGCTTACAAAGGAATTTTTGTATTAGCAAGTACGCTTGATGGTGCAGGTATAATTTATGTATTAGAATTTATAATTTTTTGTCCCATAACAATGGTTACTTGATATTGATGCTTTATATATGGATAGTTGTGTATCTAGAAATTAACAAACAAGTTCACTATTTTATGAGTAAGATGCATATTGCCGTTAGCTTATGGAGTGGTGGACAGTGAAAACGATTGTTCATGGACATGGTTCTTCCAACAGTTTAAAAGTGCATTTGGGGAAAGGGAACAAATGTGTGTTGTATCAGATAAAAATGAAAGCATAATTAATAGTGTCAGAACTGTTTTTTCAAATGTTCCTCATTTTGCATGCATATGGCACATTTGAAAAAATGTTTGTTCAAGCTTCAAGAGAAGCAAAAACGTACTAAGTGATGTGTTCTATTCAATGGCCAAGACTTATAGAAAAGAGGATTTTGAGAAATTGATGGCTAAAGTCGTTAAAATTGACAATCGGGTTAAGATGTATCTTGAGGATACTGGTTATGAAAAGTGGTCAAGAGTTCATGCAACAGTAAACAGGGGGAGAATGATGACCTCTAACATAGCAGAATGTATCAATGAATGCCTTGTTGAAGTGCGACAACTACCTATAATACAATTTTTGGAAAAAGTCAGAGTTCTATTCGGTTCTTGGAACTCTAAAAATAGAGAAATAGCATCTTATACAAAGGAAACATTGGGGAAGAGATTTGAAGAGTTGTTGATTATAAACGCTTCTAAATGTTCAAAAATGCAGGTATGTGCCAATATATAAACTATAATGTATTTGGAATTTGTTGTTCTTTGGCTGTTATGAGTATAAAATTGATTTAATTGATATGTGGTGTGTGTCTTACCTAATGTTGTCAGGTTGTGCAATCTACTGAATTTATATATTCAGTTTTTGAATGTGGGCGAAAATTCATTGTTTGTCTGGAGAGAAAGATCTGTAACTGTGGGAGATTTCAAATAGACGAGATACCTTGTGCACATGCATTTGTTGTTTTCAAGAAGAAAAACATTATAGATATACATTCCTACTGCTCAGATTACTATAAACCAGCTGCATTAGAAAACACATATGAAGTTCCGATGGTTCCAATGCCGGACAAAGAGGATTGGTCAGCACCGGAGTTTGTTTTGGAAGAAATCGTATTGCCACCAAGATACAAAAGTTTGGCTGGACGACCAAGGAAAAAGAGGAAGAAAAATCCAGGTGAAAAGATAAGCAAAAACACAAATCATTGTGGACGTTGTGGACAAGAAGGTCACAACATAAGGACTTGTACTTTCTTCCTGAAAGAAGACTGACGAAATTCTTTGTTAGAGCTACTGTTATGTTTCAGATACATTATTTTAAATTCCGCTATGTTTTCAATTTTTTTTGCAGTTTTCAATTTAACCTTGATAAAAAACATTGCAATCTATTATTAGCCAGTAAAATCTCGTTATAATAATTTGAAATGTCAAGATTTTCTACCTTGTGTTTGTTTTTATAACATATTATGTTCCAAAATACGTGTTTAAATAATGTATCATCACTTGTTTGCTAATAATGTACAATAAATTTTGATTGTGGGGATTGTATCAGTCTATGTATTTCAGATGTACAATTATATTATATAATGTATCTTAAGTTAAATGAATGAGCCGGCAACTAATTAGAATAAATTGACCAAAACAACAAGCATAGTAAAGTTGTGTTTACTTATGAATTATTGAATCTGATACATTGAGTTATTAAAGTGCAAACGTATCGACCTGAAATAAGTACGTCTATAGCTTCTTGGGTTCTAGCAGAAATGGATGTCGATGTGGTAGAATCCTATATTTTAAAATGAATAATAAGAAAATTGTATAATTCAAAAACAAACGAACAATTGAAGAAAATATTTAAAATTTACCGATGTATCAATGTTTACTGAAACTTTGTCTGCAAGTGGGATGTTATGTTGCGATTTATCAGCAACATCTTGAACCACAGTTAATTCTACTACATCATCCTGATAAGCAACATGATATTTTTTGTTATAACTCTACAATAAATGATAAAAAGATTTATAAGTAAAATTATACTTACAATAACCTCCTTGGATACATTCCCACCAGCTCTTTGAACCTTAATTGTATCAACAAAATATGAATATTACTACTTATTGGAGAAATCAACCGTCAAAGAAAATGGGGAGAAGTTTAATGAGAGAAAGTGGGGAGAGGTTTAAGGAAAGGATGAACTCTATTTTTTAGCATAGGAAATATTGTATTCGGAAGATTTTTGCCTTAAAGAGAAAAATGAGGGATTTTTGAAATTTATAAAACTAATGAGGGATACTGATAATACGTAAACTTAAATGTGGGATTTCTATAATTTTTCCTAAAATTTATGATATAAAATTTGAAGTTTGGTCTTTATCAAACTAATAACTTTTAGTAATATCTAAATTAAGTCATGTCAAGGTCAAACAATTTCAGTTAAAATGTTTTGATTTTGATTTTGATTTTGTCAAGTTTAGAGTTTTTGTGAATTTTTTTTGAAGTTGGTCATGGCAAGTTATATCAGTCTTACACAATTTCAGTTAAAATATTTGAATTTTGATCTTATCAAAACTAACAACTTTTGTGAAAAATGATTGAAGTTTGTTTTGACAAATCATATCAAACTACTAATGAAAAAATTTGATGTTCAATTTTCACAAATCTAATGTCCATTTTCTACTTGTAAATAAAATGTGTTATTTATGATTCCAAATGGGTTATTTTCTTTCTTTTCATTTTAGAAATGTGATTTCCATGGTTGTTTCATTTGCATTTTGGTTAGTAAAATCATTATTACTTTACTAATATGTAGAAGACTCTACTAGCACACATGTGTTCGTCAGCATATGTGCTTGTAGGAATTAAATCTTAACAGAAGGATATTTTTGTCATCTTATGTGAAATGTTTTCAAATCATATCTTACTGTCACAACCTAAAGGGCTTAGGTGCCACTGCAACTCATGCACTATAACTTTCATTCCATTTTAAAAATAATGTAGAAAAGCTTCTTTTATAGTAAATAAAATATATAATAATTTATTCATATGTTTGATTATGATTTGACACAGAGTTTAAGAAAATAAAATAAATATAATTCAATAACGTGATAAATTATAAATCACAATATAGAAGACTCTAGAAGTAGACACCTCTTCGTCAATGTATAAAGACGAGTTATTTATGTAATTTTCATACTTTCTCTATTTTAATTTATTTTAACTTATTTTCTTTAGTTTGTTGTATATTTGAAAATAACGTAAAAGAAATACTATAAATCACAATAATTAACAACTTAAAAATATTTAATAGACATAAAAATAATATTCTTTTATTGGATATATAGTTTTCTCCTCCTTTTCCCCCCCTCTTCTTAGTCATCTCACATATATCTTTTTCTCTACTTATATTTCTAGCGTTTTAAACTTCAACACAAACGTTATGTGGTTTAGCTGTTTTTTTTTTTAAATTTAAATATTATTCATACCTTAGAATGACCATTTAAAAAAAAAAGTTTTAAACTATAGTAAATTGTTTGTGGGCTGATTTTTACAATTTTCTGTGCTGTAAATTATAATCTTTTATGTGGGCTTTTCCTACAACTATAGTATGGGCCTCAAATATTTGTTGAAATTGGGCTGAGCCCTATTATAAATATGACATATTGCTTCTCTCTGCAAAACCCTAATCGGCAGAAGCAGCTTCTTCTCTCTCTCAGGTACTTCCTCTGCCATTCTCAAACCCTAATTTCTACGTTCATCAGAACTTAAATCTTACACTTCTTGTGTAATTCATCTATTTTGTAGGTAAGCTGGTGTTTTTTTCTGCTAGGGTTTCAGAACTATACCTAACGAAATGGCTCCTAAAGGTACACTTCTCACTCTTTTGTTTAATATTGTGTTGTTAGAACTGTGAAAAGTTGTTTTCTTTATGTGTGCAGTAGTATATCTAGTTATTGTTCTTAGCTCTAATCTGTGATATTCTTTGTTATATAATTGGCGTAGATTGCAGTATTTTTGTTATTATTTATGGCGAAGGAATGAATTTACTGAGGTTCTTATTGTTTGCTGGGTGTGGTAGTAGTAGCTTTAGTGTTGTGAGGATTTTAGTATTCTATTTTTGTTGTTTTTGGTGTTCGGGCGGAAAATGGGGTTGGGTTATTTTGTTGGATATTCTTATAGCATGATGTTCCTCTGCATTTTGTTCAGATAATTAGAAAACCTGTTCTGAGTTATTGGTTTTAGTAACAACTGGAGATTAATGTTGTAAAAAAGGCTGATAGTTGGAGTGGAAAAGGCTGTAGTAGGGGAATGTATGGTGGTGCATTTCTGGAATTTATTGAAAATAGAATAGATGAGTTATTTATTTGAGTAGCTAATGTAGCTTTAATATTTGCAAAAAGTGCCTGGTTATATTGGAGCTTTGTATGATTGGTGCATCTCAGTAATTATTGAGTAATAGATAATTTGCCTTACTGTTGTCTATGGAAAGTGTACAGACTACCCTTAATAGGTTCCCGAACGTTGGTAGAGATTATTTTTTGAGATTATTATTTTTTGGTTTGAGTAAGATATTCTAATTAGGCTTGAATTATTTGACTTGGCCTGCTTTATACAATCAATTATGGGATCACTAGGGTTGGGATAAGAATCAATATTCTCATTTGGGAGTTCTAACATCCTGCTACCTAGAGACATTGAGAACTCCAGGAGGTAAGTCATGTAAGACTAGGACGAACAAGGGTTAGAGGTGTGCAGATAATCTTATAGGTTATAACTATGCAAGGAGGGAAAAACAATTATATTACTTGCTAGTATTGATAGTGGATGTTGATTTATTTGCTGCCTTTTACTAATACAATCCTGATACTGGAATTTTAAACCTTATATGCAGCTGATTCGACCAAAAAATCTGACCCTAAGGCTCAAGCCGTCAAGGCTGCCAAGGCTGTGAAGTCAGGATCAACCTTCAAGAAGAAGTCACAGAAGATAAGGACAAAGGTTACATTCCACCGTCCTAGGACTTTGAAGAAGGATAGAAGCCCCAAGTATCCTCGTGTAAGTGCACCTGGAAGGAACAAACTTGATCAGTATGCTATTCTAAAGTATCCTCTCACCACTGAGTCTGCAATGAAGAAGATTGAAGACAACAACACCCTTGTTTTCATTGTGGACATCAAAGCTGATAAGAAGAAGATCAAGGCTGCCGTGAAGAAGATGTATGACATTCAGACAAAGAAAATCAATACCTTGATCAGGTATGTTTCCTTCTGTGATGCTCTTCACACCAGTATTGTCGTAAAATGATAAATTTCAGAGTGTTATCATGTATGTAACACTTGCATATAACAAAAATTGTTTGATACCTGCACAAATACTATAGTTCTTTCTACTGTATCTTTTGCTGTTGTGCATATTAATGTCCAATCCTTGCTAAGCTATTTTTTTTGTGTTCCTTGTTCAGGCCTGATGGGACTAAGAAGGCATATGTGAGGTTGACTCCAGACTATGATGCTTTGGATGTGGCCAACAAAATTGGAATCATCTAAATTAGTTTCCTGTTTAGAATTTTGATGAGAATTTAGAATTTCATGAAACACTTTAATGGAAGTGCCTTGTGTTTTGAATTTTGAATTTTGCTTTCCAGAGACGTGTTTTGTTCCATATTTTTGTTATAAGAGAATTCAACCTTATGCTCCTAGTTAGTACTTGGCGTATTTGATTTGCCTCATGATTAATTAGATAGTAGTAAGTTGTTTGCAATGGAGATCATATAGGTATTTATGCATTCTTAGTTCCATTGATCACCAAATCTTGAAAGAGAAAAAAACAGAGTTATCATTGTATCCGAAAGGTTGGAATGTGAGAGAGTATTTCAAAACTTGAACTTACGGATTGTGTAGACTTTGCACCCTACTATGATCAGTTATGGTTCCTCGCAATGTTCAATTTCTCAGACTTCTACAATATAATCAGAAGCATTACTACAACTCCATTTGAGTAGGATATATGCTTATGTTTGTACAAATTATTTACAACCTTATAATGCTGAGTCATAGAGGATAAGAAAAGAACAAAACAGAGTTACAGTTTCACTAGTGATGACATGTTTCCATAAGAAGCTGGAATCTCGGAATGGCTGAAATTGTTGTTATCAAGTTGTCTGCATAAGAAAATTCAGAACTTCATCATAAATTTCAACCCATCCGCTTCTCAGTGGAGCTGCAAATGGCATCGCAGTTATTGTATGACAAGGATTACTATATAACAAGCAAAGATTATCGATGAATTTTATAAAGATTAATCACAAAAATATTAAAACTATCAAACTTTGAATCCCTAGTTTTAAAAATGTAATGGATTCAGTGGCAAGAATGTAAAGATTGAAACCATCAAACTTAAAATCATAAATGTACCTGTCTACATCCAACATAAAGTATATCTCCATCATAGCCAAATGATTATCTAGATCTCCTCGATGAGATAGTTCAGGGTTCAAAGCATTCGGGGAAACATGTAGGGTGACTGCAAAATCAAGAAGATGGGACCAAAAAATATGGATCAAATTTCGTTCAACTTACAAAAGTTTCAAAGACTTGATGTAGACTCCCAGTCAAATCATTCCACATGAAATTCCTTTCAGAAAGAGAATTATAAAGATAATAATAAGAAAAACAGATAGAAAAATCAGTAAAACTCTACTATATCTTAATATCAAAATATCTGTACAATGCAGTAATATGTGTAACAACTCACAGGTGTTAAATTTCCAGAAAGATTCACAGCCATCATACGGCTGCACAAAGGAGGAAATGCTTAATGCCATTGCACTCACACAAGAATACAAGATAGTCATTTAATTACTCTAATTTATGAGGTAACTTAGTTATTCATGCCCTTATCGTTAGCAAACTGTTGAGATACTACTTATGCTACTAACTGGATTGGTTTTGATGATCAACAAACAACTACAAAAGAACCAGGTCCCTTGGAGATACTAGTTATGTACTAACTGGATTGAAGGAGTGTTGTGCAGATATCGAAAGAACCAAGTCTCCTTTTTTGCTGTTAATGCTATAGAGGAGCTCCAACTTGAAACATAACGAAAGGTAATTTATTTGCCACAACCAAAAGCAGAGGGGTAAATTTAGACCTTGTTCCTGATATATTCTTACACGTGAAATCCACCGCACTGGAACTCGATTAAAGATACAAGGATTTTCTAACATCAAGGGTATTTTTTGTGGCCCAAAGTAGAGGTGTACATAGGCAAGGATGGTTCGGGTTTTTCAAACTCCAAACCATACTTTGCTAGAGTAAATTGGCTTTGGATCTACCTAATTACAGCAACAACAACATACTCAGTGAAATCCCACAATTGGGGTTTGGAGAGGATAGAGTATATGCAGGTCTTACCACTACCTCGTGGAGGTAGATAGGTTGTTTCCGAAAGACCCTCTGCTCAAGTGCAGCAATTCCAGGTATAAAGAAGAAGAATATAATAACATACAGTTCCTTGACATGTAAGTAGCCATTGGCTCCAGCTTTGTTGAAACAATTAACTCCAGTCCAATTAGATGTACATGGATAGCCCTTCTCCCAATCTTTCAGGTACTTCATATTATCAACCAAACCATTCTTTATAGATAGCAAAGCTGAGAAGTAACCAACCATATGGATTTAACAAAACCTTAATACCTCTTTCTCCCCCGTTAACTGTTCAACTTACCTCACAATCTCAAGAAACTTGACTTAGTACAGCTTCAAATGCATCTTTACAGTTCATTGATATTTGATACCTATGTTGTAGTACATCAAGATTTACAAAGTGGACGGGACCTTTTGTGTTGTGTCTGCTGGACATTGAAGTGTGGAGTTGTGCATCAAAATTCTCGAAGAAAATCAGTTTCTTGGCTCTTCATTGCGTGCTTGAGGAAGTACCCAAGAAGTTCATAAATCTCAGGCTTGTTGGCATGTCTCTTGTCTCCAGTAACAAATACATGAATTTTGCATTTGATTTCAACCCAACTACATCCAGGGACCGTCTTCAACCCTTTTCCCCTCATTTCATTCCTTACGATGGACACACTCTGCCATCTTCCAGCAGCAGAATGTGCATTCGAGAGCATCACATATGATGAAACATCTCCGGGCTCTAAAGCCAATACCTTTTCAGCAGCATATTCCCCTAGCTTCGTGTTTGAGTGAATCTGACAGCCTCCTAACAATGCCTTCCAAAATCCTATACCTGGATCAAAAGGCAAATCATGAATAAATTTCTCAGCTTGTTGAAACTTCCCTGAACGCGATAGCAGATCAACCATACATGCATAGTGCTCAGATTTCAGCAGATTAACATCCCGAGTTCTTGCCTGCTCAAAATATGAATAAGCCTTATCAACAAGACCAACATGACTACATGCCAGTAGCAAACCAAGAAGAGTAACACTATTTGGCTTAATTCCCATATATTCCATTCTCTTAAACAATTCAATCGCTGCATCCCCTCTCCCATTTTGAGCATGAGCACATATTAGAGCATTCCAAGTCACAACATTTCTTTCAGGAAGTCTATCGAAAACGCGAAGACAATCCTCTAAACTCCCACATTTTGCATAAAAGCTAACAAGGGAATTGCCTACAAACACACCAACCTCACCCAAATACTTCACAGCACAAGCATGGAAACTTTTGCCCTTACCCAATGCTGCCATATTTGCAGCTGCACTTAACAAACAAGGGAACGTCGATTGATCAGGTATGTAACCTCGTCTCAACATCTCAATAAAAAGATTAACAGCCTCTTCGTTACATCCTTTCTTGCTATACCCACTAATCATAGCATTCCAAGAAACAACATTTCTCTCCGGGATTATCCGAAAAATTTCCATTGCTTCATCAAATCTCTGTTCTTTAAGATACCCACATAATAAAGTTGTGTAAGTAACCACATTTGGTTCATGGGTATCCTCAAAAACAACCAGAGCTTCTTCAATGCTGCTTACCTTTACATAAAGATCCAAAAGCGCACTACCCACATAAACATTCGAGTTAAGACCAATTTTCATTGAAACAACATGAAATTGCTTTCCTAAATTTGGGTCATTGAGAACAACAGATGAGTGAATTACAACACCAAATGTGAACTCATTCGGTCTGATATTCAGCTCAAACATTCTTGAGAAGATAGTCATTGCTTTCTTGTGTTGATTCAATTGAGCAAAACGGCTAATCAAAGATGTAGCCGATGCTACATCTCGTTTAGGCAATTCATCGAACAACTGAAATGCATTTGTATCAATTTGGGTAAAGCATCTAAAAGTTGAACGTCGGATTCTTATATATACCGGCTTATACACCGGCAGATACAGAAAAGATAATCGAGTAAAACGTGAATGTATCATAGCAAATGTCGAATTAGTGGCCTAAAATCAAATTTTTATAAGAGGCCCTCCAAAATTGGTATTATAAAAATCACGCCTACATAATTTGTTGTGTATTTTTCTAACATTTTAAATGCAAAGTTGTTAATTGTTATTTTCAAAATGAATTAATAAGTCAAGTATATAGAATTAAAAAAATCCAAATTAAAATAGAATAGAAAAGTTAAAACACTTCAAGTTTTTTTTTTTATGAGAATTAAAAAATAATACTTACATAATAATTTAGAATATATATTACTATATAAGAAGAGTGAATAAAATTCACTCTTCTTTTGACACATGGCACCAAAAAAAAGGAGAGGGTTGAACATAAGTCTCAAGGTGAGGGTATTTTGGGTATTTCAAAATACCCTCACATTCACACTTATGTACTACTTATATATTATACATT